AGAGAGAGAGAGAGAGAGAGAAGATGCTGGCCGGCTCTCGCTTCCATCACTCACTGGTTAACTCACAAACACCAAACACCATCAGCACCGACAGAACACATAGCCTTTCAAACTCATCCACTTGCCCCATGACAGTTAGAACTACCAGAACCAATTAGTCACATCACCACCAGCATACAAATATTTTGGGTTGCCATGTTCAAATTGACTAAACCAGCGAGCGTGGGGTCCAAGCCTACGTAGCATGCCGTAAAGCAAGCGGCCGAAACCTCTCACCAACTACATACATCATACGCGGCTGTGAACGTCATTAATGCGAATGCGAATGCGAGCGCTCTTCCCCTCGCCTGTGGACGTACCATCTCCTCCCCGAGACCTTCCCCACATCCCAGCGCGAGGGAAGAGCGAAAGAGAAACATGCAAGAAAAAGAAACAGCCTCCCCAGTAGCTACTCTCCATTTTCAACCCCTGGGTGTGCCACTGCCAGTTGTATGACGATATGGGGCTTGTGCCAGTGAGCAAGTCGTACCGCTCCTCCCATTCGTGACATCCCCGACAGTTTCCACCTCGCCCCCCATCATCGTCTCCCCCGGACGTTCCCTCTCCCCAGGGACAACAAAAAGAAAGAAAAACAGACAAGGAAAAAAGAAATCGTGATGCCCAAAACATATCTCAGGAGTAAACAGAGGATCTGCTCTGAATGCTTCCGGCGCGTGGAGTATCTGCTACCGGACCGTACAAACGAGCTTATGTGATCATGTTCTTGCCTGCTTCGTGACCGATTCTGTACCCAGCAAGGACAATGTTCGTGCACGGGTGTGATCTCATCGATGCGCCTAGCGTTGCATGGTTGTTCCGAAGTTGGGATGGGGTGGCATCGGGCGTGCCGTTCGATTGCCATGACATCGCCGACAGGTCTCACTCGCCGTGAGGTGCCATGCGGATGCCGTAGTTGCTCGAGCCATCGTGTAATCCGTAAAATCGAAGAATCGTAACGAAAAAAAGCAATCCGGAAAAGAGATGAGGGGTGATATCAAGCCAGTCGCAACGGTCTCCGCGAGAGAGAGTCAGGCCGGGCCGGCAAGTAAGGTGGCGGAGCAAGACGAGACGGCCACGATTCCAAGATCGAGCGTCGAAAGAGCCCGATCAAGAAGAATCGCGCCAGAGAATCAATCAATAGCCTTCACCCCATTCCCGCGGTCTGCTCCGGTCCTCCCGCTTCACCCCGAAGCCCCCCGACGCGTATCCAGGACCAGTAGCCGCACCTTTCGAGGCAGAACGAAGCCTATTTTCGGAGACTATAGCGTCAGCCATCCCGTCAGCATTCATTCTCCTCGCGGCCAGCGTCATCGAAGCACACTAAACGCGAAGAGGAAAATTCCCTTACAAGGAACCGGGTCTAGCAAGTCACTCACATCCTATCGCTTCCACCGACGGCTCTGTTGGTGTCCGGGGTGTCTACACCCGCCCCGCTGGCACCGCGCTCCATAACCTTGCGGCGGGTTCCGGAGATGGCGCCCGGCTTGGACGCACTGGAGGCGTGCTGGGCGGTTTGGCCGGCGGCATTGGCGACGTTGTTGCGGGTGCGTCCGGGCTTCTCGTCCTCGTCCTGTGCGGGCTGCTGACCGGCGGCCTGGGCAATGGCCTGGGCGTTCTTCTGGTACTTGTACACGGTCCAATCGAAGACGTAGTCGTACTGGAAACCCTCCCGCACGAAGAGATCACGGAAGATCTTTCGGAGGTACGAGTAGTCGGGCTTGTCGTCGAAGCGGAGGGAGCGGGTGTAGTTGAGGTAGATGGCAAACTCGTTGGGGAAGCCGCGGCAGAGAACCTCGGTGGGGGTGGTCATCTTCTTCTCCATGATGCGGTCGTACTTCTGCTTCTTGGTAGCAGCCTTCAGGCCCTGCCACGGGAGGGAACCACGGCAGAAGTAGAGCATCACGTATCCGAGCGACTCCATGTCATCACGGCGGGACTGCTCTGGGGAGAAGTCAGTACAGCACGGCAGAGCGGATCCGGGGACTACGTACCGACACCCAAGTGGGTGTTGATGGACGCGTAACGGGCGGTACCCGTCAAGTTCTTGTTCTCCCGGTAGGGGATGTGGAAGTGCGTCTTGGGGTCACGGTACTTCTTGGCCAGACCGAAATCAATGACGTTGACCTGGTTGCCGCGCTTGCCGATGCCCATCAAGAAGTTGTCGGGCTTGATGTCACGGTGAATGAAGGACTTGGCGTGGATGTACTCGATGCGGGAGATCAACTGGTCGGCGAGGAGGAGGACCGTCTTGAGCGAGAACTTGCGGTTGCAGAAGTTGAAGAGATCCTCCAGGCTGGGTCCGAGGAGATCGAGAACCATGGCGTTGTAGTCGCACTCGGTCCCAAACCAGCGGACAAAGGGGATGCCGACCCCACCGGCGAGCGACTTGTAGACGCGGGCCTCATATTCGAGCTGCGGGTGCTTCGCCTTGACGGACTCGAGCTTGATGGCAATCTCTTCCCCGGAGATGATGTTGGTTCCGAGGTAGATGTCTCCGAAACTCCCGCTACCGATCTTCCGACCGATGCGGTACTTGTTTCCGACGCGGAGATCCTGCGAAGACATGTCAGTACGTTACCGCGACAGAGGTGGGAGTTGTGCTGTGCAAGCGTCGGTGCGGGGGTGAGGAACGAAAGACCGGGGAGGGGAGCAGGGCGCGGCGTTGGTGAAAGTCACGGGTGAGAGTAGGATTCCCAGTCTCGTTCCACGGCAGCACAGCCGTATGCAGACCAGATGGTGCTCGTGGGAGGCTGAAGAAAGGGAGTATAAACCAGAGGGTTGGATTTCGACTTGGAAGCGGGTGGATTCACCATAGTAGTCATCTTGCTTCAACTATGGACTCTGGGTATCGGGGCAGACCGATACACGAGTCGTGGATGCTGTTGCTAGGTCGAGGAGAGGGGGATGTTGCTGATCGACCGACGAGGCGGATCGGGGGTGCGGAGGTCGGGACGGGTATGGTACGGGAGGGCCGAGGAGAGGCAGGATCTAACAGCAAGGACACCCGTCAGCTCTGGTATGGTATGGTGGATGAGTCTCGAGCACACGCGAAGCGGTGAGGTCGTGGGACAAGAAGCGGTGTCTCACGCGGCGTACGACAGGGCGCAGCCAGCGCCAGGTAGCGGTAAGAGGTATGATGGATGGTGATGCTAGCGACGTGCGGCTGCTCGAGATGGGTGGAAGAGGTGGAGGTAGAAGAGGTGGAGGAGGTGGAGGGGGAAGAGGTGGAAGAGGTGGGAAGTATATGGCTACGTACCTTTGTGCTGCTTCCAAGGGTGAGAGGCTGCAGTGCGGTGCTGCTGCTGACCCGACCGTCGACGTGTTCTTGAGGTTTGCTGGCGACCGATGACGGGCAGGACGGTTGAGACGACGAGCTCCCGGAGATCAATCGATGAGCAGGCGTGTGGTGATGGAATGAGACGGGATGGGATGGGATGGGATGGGATGGGGTGGCAGTCAAGAAGAGAGGTGAAGGAGTCGAGGATGATGAGTTGGGGTTGGGGGGTTGGGGGTTGGGTTGAGGGAAGAGGGAGATCAGAGCCTGAGCCTGAGCGAGCCTGAGTCTGAGCCTGAGGTCCCGTGACGACTGGTCCTCGCTTGGAGTGGAGGCTGGTCTTATCTTGGCCGCACTAGACTGATTGTGGGAAGAATGGCCCTTTGACTTGGGCTTTTGGGTTGGACGGTTGGACGGTCGGACGGTCGGTTACGGTTGTTGGAGATGAGGATCCCAAAGTTGATGAAGGATGGGCTTTAGCATTAATGCCTATTTGCGGTGCTCCAAACGAGTGTGATTGTTGGTGTGGGGCCGGCTCAATTAAGAATCCCAAAAAAGTCAGTTAGTCATTCGCATTCGCATTCGCATTCGCATTCGCATTCTCCACGCAATCACGCACTCGATCTCTCTCTCATTCATACATTCGTACATAGGTACTTATACGACCCTCACTGAGTCCCTCGGGATAGTTGTCTGATTATGCCCTGACGGCAATGGATGTGTCCAGCGGGTCAACATGGTGACGCATAAATCGCTCGGCCTGGGCTGCCCGGCTATGTACAGAGAGAGTTGTTCTGGACCCTCGGTGCGCGGAGGGGACTAGGTCGGTACCGGTATGGGTGGGTCTGGGTCTGGGTATGGGTATGGGTCTGGGTATGGGTATGGGTCTATGGGTATGGGTCTATGGGTCTAGGGTCTATGGGCCAGCCGAAGAGAAGGGCTCAGTTCGCAACAGATGGAAGTAGTAGTACCTACTACCTACGTATCTTCGATTTCATGTTATCATTCTTGCCCTGCGGCTCCCTTTCCATGGCTGACTGATCCCTTACGTACGTACGGAATACGGCCGACCGATTCCCGATTCCTCCCAGCAAGCAAGTCGGTAGGTATGGCCCACGCCGTCGCCCACCGTCGCCCACCGTCGCCCCAGCCCGAGCCCGAGCCACAGCCACAGCCACAGCCACGGCCACCAGCACCGCCACAGCCACAGCCAGCGCCTCGTCCGCTCCTGCCCAACCCCAACCCCAACCCCAACCCCATATCCATATCCATATTTGTCACTTTGTCAATTTGTCAACATGCCAAGACAGTCAGCCAAGACCCTGCACCACCAGCACGGCCACGCCACGCAATGTCCCCCCTCCCCCCCCCCGGCCACAACGAAGCAGCTCGCAGCCCAAACATCAGGTATCATCCAGGCGCATCCCGCATGGCCGTGTCTCACCGCATTCCATACATAGTAGTAGTAGTAGTAGTCCCAGTCCCGTACACCCTGTCTGTCTCCAACGCCCACCCCCCCCTCCCCCCCTCCCCCCTCCCCCCTCCCCCCCTACCGCCCATCCATCCCATCCCATCCATCGTGCTGTCAGTCAACACGTCTGTCTCATCTCTCCCCTGTCCGATGGGAGATGCATCCGGAGCGAGGCGAATTTGCGTGTAGGCAGTTTATTAATATACTACTACTACTACTACTACTACTACTACTACTACTACGTACTTACGACGTGGTACTATACTTACTTAGGTACCCTTCCTCTCGTCTCTTCGGCCGACGGACTGACTCTCCGCCTCCTGTGCATGCCTGTAGAAGTAGTAGTACCTGTACAAATCAAATCCAATCAAATCCAATCAAGCTTTCGCCCTTCCCCTTCCCCTTCCCCTTCCCTCTTCCCCCTTCCAGAGACCGAAACGGAATACCGGTCGTCGCATATGGAAACCCGTGGCTGACGACGACGGCCGGCGCAGTTGCCTTGCGGGCGGGTGTCGTGATTCACGTACTGTACTACTACGTAGTTTGATGATGCCGATACGATGCGATGCGATGCGATGCGATGCGATAGATGCGACAGATGCGATGCCGAAGCCGAAACGGGTACCGATGCCGAAGCCGTCGCCGTCGCCGTGCCGATCATGAATACGTAGTACTACGTACGTAGTAGCAGGAGCAGTACGGGAGCAGTAACAGCGGCTCATACCCCAAGACGTGGCCAGCAAACCAAGAGGCCGAGTGGTCCGAGGATCAAGTGACACGGCCGACGAACGAGATTGAAACTCGAAGTGTAAGAAGCCTTCCTCGTTTGATTGGTAGGGATGGCCCCGGCTGGTGAAGCTTGCGACTGTAAGTAGTAGTAGCACCTGGGGCTTCCTCCTACCCCTGATCGGAGCGCTACCGTACTTACACTACCTACCTAGGTAGCCAGAGGCAAGGCTTGCGGTTCCGAAGGTGGGTGGCTCAGTCACGGCCGCGGTCCTTGAACCCTCGATTTTACTACCGTACTTGTACAGTATTTACATACAGTGCGTGCACCAGACACTCAGCGACACGAAAACTCACCACCTAAGTACTAGTACTAGTACGTAGTAGTACTTACCAACCCCTGACTGATATGCTTTCGCGAGCTACTACTACTACTACTACTACTACTACTACTACTACTACTATTACTACTATATAAAGAGCACCAGCGAGAAAAGAAAAGAAAAGCTTATTCCCAACCTGGCTGTTACCGTACGGTACTGTACTGTACCAACTATACTTTTCGATTAGATAGATACCTACCTAGATACGTAGTGCTTAGATAAGTACTGTAATAGTAAGTAGTAAGTAGTAAGTAGTAAGTAGTAAGTACCTAGTAAGTAGCACTCGGTCCCTACCTAGAAGTACACAATATACCTACCTACTACTTCGGTACTAGTAAGCTAGGTACTACTTAATTACTACATACACATGTACTAGTAAGAGCAGAGCTTTCGTTCTTAACATAGTAGTACGACTTACCTTATATACCTTACTTAGCACCTCCACGCATCTCCGTCCTCCGTCCGTCCGTCCGTCCGTCCGTCCGTCCGTATCCCCTCTACGTAGTAGTAAATAAGGCCCCCCCTCTCAGAAAAAGTCAAAGTAAAATTCCCGCATCGCAGTTTGAGTCGCACTGGTAAGTGCGTAGTACGTAGTACTAAGTGTAGATACGTATTACATAGGTAGATAGATAGATAGATAGATAGATAGATAGATACCCAACCAAAAATAGCCATAGCAGTCCCAGTCTCAGTCCCAGTCTCAGCAATTCGATATATAGTAGGATTACCTACCTACCTACCGTATTACCGTATTATCACCACTGTATTGAAAGCGACCCGGCCGTCCTGAGCCCGTCTCCGTCTCCGTCCGTCTAAACATTCCCGACGCGCCCATCCTACCCTTCCAATATTTCAAGTTTTTCTTTATGGTTTTTTTTATGTTTTTTTTTTTTTCGTGTGTAGGTTTTTTTTTTTATAGTTTAGTTTTTGTTTTTAATACTACTACTACGTACATACCACGGTACAGGCCTAAGTATTACCCCTCGAGGGTGCCTCAAAAGTCTAGTTTCCACTTTAAACCCCCTGTTTTCCCT